TAAATAATGTTTGCCTAATGCCTACAAGAATGGATAATCTTCACTTGTATACGCCAACTGGTCTTGAAGGGTTTGATGATGCTAAATCTGTAAATGGAGGAAATTTTAGTTTTACTGGTGAAGTATGAAGAAGTATGGCTTTAAAATCTATTAGATAGAAGTTAAGTGTAGCGAGGTAGGTTTAGCGACGTTCTCTTAATTTTATCTAGTCGATCGAATATTCTTCTTTTGGTTTGTAAAATATTTGATTGCACAAAAGTAGGGATTGTTTTGCTAAACATTAATTAGTTGGATAAATTTGTTTGCCAATCACGGCTTGATAGGGATATTTAAAAACACATCCATATATGCCAATTACTTTAAACCGACGACGTACATCGTGAATGTTGTTTTGGAAAGTATATCGGTTTTAATTTTTTTTTAATATTGTGCTTAATACTTTTTGTGAGGTAATAAACCGGATCCTAATTTATATTGACATATTTTTGAAATAGAGATAATTGGGATGTGCCTTTAAAAAGGTTGAGAAAATTTGTATAGGAATTTGTTGGTCTTTCTTTTGCCATTGTAGTATCAAATCGAATGTTGTCATTTGGTATGGTTTTTTTCATACCATGAATTCCCAAAATTCTTGATGGGATATACGTATATGTTGGTTAAAAATATATATTTATATATTTTAATATAAAGATGTACATGTATGTATGCACAATAATATGTACGCGCGGACATTAACTTTAAACCGACGACGACATTTATGTATATTAATATAAAGATGTTGTTTTGGAAAGTATATTGGTGTACTTTATATTGACGCTTCAATATTTTAATTTAGGGGATTTCGTCTACATACGTATTTAAACTATCCAAATGAAATTTCCGGGGTTTTTTTTTAACCCGACCGAAAGTAGTTTTGTACTCAAGATCATTTAAATAATTTCCAAGTTTTATTGGTTACCATCTATATAGATATCCTCTATAAATTAATACTCGATAAATTAGTAGCTATCCCTTAGGTTACCATTGTTTCATAGATGGGTCTTGGAAGGCCACATATATATAAATGCAGGTTTGGGCTGGTTTTGTCAGCATTCGCAGGACTCCTCTACGACGATGGGAGCTTCCAACCTTCGCCGAAGTCTTTCTCCTCTTCATTCCGAAGTTGAAACTCTGGTGTGGGTGATGAGATGCATGATTGGCCATAACTTCAGAGAAGTTATTTTTCTTACGGACTGCTCAGACCTGGCGAAGATGGTGTCTTTCCCTAAAGAGTGGCCGGCTGTCTCTGTCTACCTGGATGATATCAACATTGATAGGGAAGAATTTTCATCATTTTCTTTGTCTCTTATTCCTAGAAGTTTGAATGTAAAAGCGGATTCCTTGACACGCAAAGCTCGTACCAGTCCGCATATTTTCAAGTATGTAAACAATTGTCCGTCGAATTGGCTCAGTTGTTTAAGGTTATTTGATGACAAAAAAAAAATAGTAGCTATCCCAAATTATTATTTTTGGTTCAATTTATATATCAGTTAAATAATTAATGCAGCGAAGATACAAGATTCGAAAATGATTTTTTTCTTGGCCGGCGAGACTTGATGCAGCACATAATAAGAATAAATTTAAATTAATGAAAATTTCTCCTAATTATTCGTTGCATGCATCAGGTCTCGCCGACAAAGAAAAGATTCATCCTCAAACTTTGTATCTTTGCTTCATCATTAATAAAATATCATAGTCTAGATGTTATTAGTTATTACGATATTTCTAGATGCTCACTTTTTGTATGAACAGAGTTGGTTAAAAGCAAAAGACTAACTGAGATTTCACGGATGACGCCTTTAACTGAGTCATTAACATGTAGAATAGTGTGCTTCATGATCTACTTCACCTGTAGCATTTATGAGAAGATCTTGCAGGTCTGATTAAACAAAACATATATTTATACTCTTAAGTATATATCAACAATATAAAACACATAGAGTTTTGAATATACCTAGATCTTTTACAGCAGGATTACAAAACATTATTAATCTCAAATAATTATTTGATGCGGCTATAGCACACACAAACATATATCTATATATATAAAGTTACCTTTCCTCTCTTCTCCTTCCGCCACATCAGCGCCACATCATCCGCCACATCATCAATTTTTAAAAAATATTTTATTAATAATTTCAAAAGGGCATGGGCTTGAGGCCCAACGGTTGCACAACAATCAAACCGGTTAAGAAAGATCGAGAAAACGTCGGATTGTAACTGGATAGTTAAACGTCGGATATAACAATCAACCCGGTGAAGGATAGATCAAAAAAACATTTACTAGAATCGTTGTTTACAATAGCAACTCCTTTGCAGCTATGCACCGATTTTGAAACAATTGGTGAGAGTACACAGATTTAAGCATGGGAAGAAACAAAAAAACAAGCCAGATCCTAGAACATATATCATGGAATAGATCAAAACCAGACACCGGAAACATTATCTCTCTAATCCCATATCTAGCGAAAAAAGAGAATGTCGCAGAAACTTGCCATCGACCTCTGGCAAATAGCAAATAACAATAAACATATTAAGTACTAAACTAATACAAAATTGAAAAGAAAAAAATCCATATGAAAATAGAATAACAAAAATGACAATAGTAAAAAACCAACAATAAAACGTTTAAAAAATCATAATATAAATTATAAATTCAAATATAAATTATAAATCTCCCGCGCGCAGCGCAGGTCAACAACTAATCTATATATATAAAGTTAACTTTGCTCTCTTCTCCTTAAGCCACCTCATCATCCTAATCATCATCCACATCATTTTATTATTTAATTTTAATAATTTATTTATATCATTTTATTCTTTAATCTAAATATTTATACACATGTAAACAAGTTTTTCAAAAAGAAATATGAAAAGTCCTTTGATGTTTCAAACATCATCCACATCATTTTACTATTTAATTTTAATAATTTATTTATACCATTTTATTATTTAAGTTAAAGATTTATACACATGTAAACAAGTTTTTTCAAATAAAAAAATGAAAAGTCCTTTCAGATAATAATTATAATAAAATAAATATGTTAAATTAGTATAAAGTAGATTATACTAATATGTATGTTAAATAAAAATAACAAATAACAAATATAACAAAAAAATAACAAATAAAAATAACAAATAAAAACATAATAAACCAAAGTAAATAGATAATAAACAAGAGATCGCCAAATCAATAAATAAAAAATACAACAATCCACGCAAAATCCACAAATCATTCTCAACTTTTGGACTAACATATTAAAAGGATCCACAGAGAAGGAGCAAGTGGGCTAGTGGTTCTCACATCTGTTTGCCATCTCACAAGATCCGGGTTCGAGCCCGGTCCCTCTCAAAGAGAGACTTATAATTTGTAATGATGTCAAAAAAAAAAATATATTAAAAGGATCCACAATATTAACATCATCAAAATCTATATTTGGTGGGAGCCTTAATAACACATTTTTCTACAACTCTTTATAACACTTTTGTTTATGCTTACACATCGATTTATATTATAGACACTTAATTTCTCAACTACTATTGAAACTAAAATAAAATAGATTTTCTATACAAACACAACATGAGATAGAAAAAAAAAATATGTTGTAGTTGAGAAAATAAGTACGAAATAAAACACAAATAAATTACTTATAAACAAAGTAATAAAATTTCCGCGCGTAGCGCGAGCAACTGAGTAGTATATATATATACTCAGCTCATGAATACCCTAGTCTTATAATGTTTAAAACATGTTGACTATGTAAGTGGGATTTTAGGAAACCCAATCCCATTTGGATTACATTTTATTTGTAATATGATCAGGTCAACATATTATTCATACAAAAGACTATAATTAGTTAATTACTTAAATGGTGTAGTACTTATCTTAATCTATCTAATCTAAATATATATCTCAGAATAGCATATTTCTATAGACATCTTAATTCTCATTGTTTTTGCAAGGAATTGTCATTTTTTATTTATATGTGGTAAATTTTGGATATAATTAACAACCGACAAATGAAAAATTGTATATGAAAATAAACCCTACTAATTAATATCGAAGGAGAATGTGAAAAATTAATAAAATCATATATCAAAAGAAAGAGTGTATAGAAAAAATTAATACTCTAAAATTAAAACCATAAAATTATTTATTTATTTTTTGTATTTTTTATGGCATGATAACAACGATTAATATGGTATTTTAGTGTTAGTATTTTTCTGGGCTAAAGAAAAAACATTTAGACTAATTCACCTAAACTAGTATACATTAAGTTTTCATTTTTTAATTTAAAACAAAGTTTAAAGTTTATTTGGATATACATATATGCAAAATTAGTATATGTAACCTTTTCTTTTAGTTTTACTAGTTGGTTAATATTATGACACATGTCACACAATCTACTCGACAAAATTAATAAGTACATTGATCATGTTAATGACTAAACTTTAAGAAACCAAGCTAATTCTTTTTAAGTAAAATTACAACCATTTGGCAAATTTACTCAAAAGCAAAGCTCAAAATTATGTGTCACGATAACATTTGTATTTAAATCTACAAGATGTTATATAGAACTAGAGTTTACAAATTCAGTGATAGAGAAATCAGAAAGAAAGTTCCTTTTAAACGACGTCCAGTTTAAATTGAAAATTTCAAAGTCTACATAATTGTAATTTAAATTATGGTAAATGATAGTTACCAAAGACATATTCTTCCCTAATCTCTCTTTAGATTTAGACAAAATCAGCATAACCAAGTTTGACTTATGAAACAACATAACAATATTGCTCTAAGACGCTTTCATAAACTTCTATAAACAACATAACGTTGTCACAATGTGTGCTATATAAACTGCTTCCTTTTGATTACAATTCATTCAAACATAAATCAGTTTAGAAATAAAAATCATACTAACAAAAAGCAAAGTCTAGAACAAGAGCAAATAAGTTTAATCGATATGGCCAATCCTAGTAATTGGCCATCTTTTCTTATGTTGGTCTTGGCCTTGTATGCCATTGCTGCTCATACAAGTGCCCAATACACATACTCTCCACCATCACCACCTCCATATGTCTACAAGCCACCAACACCTCCTCCATACGTCTACAGCTCCCCTCCATATGACTACAAGCCACCAACGCCTCCTCCTTACGTCTACATCCCTCCTCCATATGTTTACAAGCCACCAACTCCTCCTCCCTACGTTAACAGCCCTCCTCCATATGTTTACAAACCACCAACGCCTCCTCCCTACGTCTACAGCCCTCCTCCATATGAGTACAAGCCACCAACTCCTCCTCCCTACGTCTACAGCCCTCCTCCATATGTCTACAAGCCCCCAACCCCTTCCCCTTACGTCTACAGCCCTCCTCCATATGAGTACAAGCCACCAACTCCTCCTCCCTACGTCTACAGCTCTCCTCCATACGTTTACAAGCCTCCACCATCACCTCCTCCTTATGTCTACAGCTCTCCTCCATATGTTTACAAGCCTCCACCATCACCTCCAACCTATAGTTCTCCTCCAATATACTAAACAAACATATCATGACAGTTTCATTTATCATCTATTATAGTCATGGAATAAATATTTCTCTTTCTAAATTTTCATAAATGAAATGTATTAATGTGGTCATAAACCACGTGCATTCTTTGTTGTGTGTTTGCATCTTTTGATGTTGTTTTTACACTCTAAAAATCGATATACTTGTTCTTCATTTTTAAATGTCTAATAAACTCAATAAATTGTATTGAAACAGATTTAAATAAATCCACTACACTTGTGGCATCTCAAAGTTTCCCAAACTATGGATTTGAATATTTATATATCTCAGCTTATAGAAAACCTGTGTTTTGGGACTACTTGTTGTGACTCTTTTTCGGTCGCAAAAAAGAGCGACGCTATAGTGACAATTTTACGGCAAATAAGCAACTATAGCACATCCGTATGGAAAACCGTTGGTAAGTAACGACGAACATTTAAAGTCTCGAAAACGTCTCTTATTTGCTTCTATTTGGCAACTATTATGCGACTAAACAAAACTAGTCGGGAAAGGGTCGCTTTTAGAGACTAATTTGTGACGCTTTTAATAGTCGGTAGAAGTAGTCGCAAATAATTCACAAAAGAGCGACGGGGTTGCAACTTCATCTAGTTGTCACAGATTAGTGGGAAAGAGGTAGTCAAATCTTGTTACAAACTTTGAAAATGTGAAAGTTCGGTACTGTTAACTATTGCGACGCTGTTTGCTATAGTACAAATTAGTCGGTGAAGATGAAGTTTCTGAAGATGAGTAATTTCAATATAAAATATTTTTTTAATGCTTTGTAAAATATAATTTCTAGGACGCTTTTGGGGGTCACAAAATGATTGTTTTCTTGTAGTGTTATAAGGCAAAGGTTACTATCAACATGATTTGTTTATATATGAGTATATCTATATAGCGAAGAATCAATATAAAAGAATGAAATATATACTGGCATCTCGGGGAGATTCTTTATAGCTGGAATGCATGTCAACTGTTTTGGGACAGTGTCGGTCGACACCATAAATTTTGGTTTGAACGGTTTAGTTTTAAATCATCGGTTTGGCTTGGAATTGATTGGGATGAAACCCTAAGTCATGTTAAAACTCGAGCAGCCATTATTTTGGGTCAGTTTTTATCTACTGTCGCTTTCGGTGAGTTCTGATAGAGAGAGAACTTGATAGTTGGTTTATGAGGCTTAAAAAAGAGTTTCTAGAGGTTTTTTGTGACTGTTTATTTGTGTTGTAAGCAAAGGTTTGAGGAGATTCATGGCTGTTAAAGCAAGAAGGGTCTTGTTCTTGCTGTTTCTTCTCTGTTTTGTCCTTCCTTTCAATCCATATCAAAGATAGTGTATGATCATGCCTGATCAAAGCATGTTTAACCCTGTTGATGTATATTTGGTCGATTAGATAGCTAGATATTTTTTGTGGACATGTTTATGTGTTTTAGTTGCTGCTATTGCATGTTTAAGTGTTAGGGTTTATGGTTGGAGCTTTGGAGGTGGTGAATTCGTTCTCTGGATAGTGAGACAATTTCAGGACTTCTGCGGAGGAGCTTCGGCCTCCTTCCTTTCTTTGGCCCTTATCGGTTGGGAGAAGAGTTTGTTGAATAAGAGTTGGAATCTCGGCGACCAGATCATCCACAAAATCCACAGCGCTAGAGGAAGGGTAACTCCTGAGGGGGGAAGACATGTCAGCTTGTTTACCTTAGTTAAGGTATCATGGATCGATATTAATTATGTAGCTTTCAGATCCAAACTGAACGGGGTGGAATCTCAAACTTTTGCAGCATGTAGGCAATGGAAAAACAAGTGGAGAGTTATTTTTGAAGCTCCGGAATGGGGATACAAAGCCGTTAGACAGACTTGCCTCTTGATAAGGTTTTCTCCCACATGTAAAGCATTTTGAGCCATTTTCCAGATAAGATGTTTAGTTTTTGGGAAACTTTTGATTTTCCAGATCACATAGCACTAATTGAAACTATCTATGGGATTTAGATTTTGCACAAGTGGTCCTCTGAAACTAATGTGTCTGCTAAGGCTTCATAGTAGCCAGATTTTGTATTATAAACACCAGAAGAATTTGGGAGCCATGCCCACATATCTAGAGCACCTTTCTCGCTTGGCCGAAACAGAATAATCTCTTCCACATAAGCTGGTAATAAGTTTTTGAGCAGGTCCTTGGGATTCCTTGGTTGGAGGTCTCATTGGTTGATGTGGGGATGCTAAGCAGAGCCAAGGACTATGCCACACAGATACAGAGCTACGTACCCGATCCAATGATTCTACCTAGTTTAACTTTAAATGACCTCTACCAAGGCAGATGCTGCGCTGGCCATGAGAAGCCGAACCTAGAACTTGATGTTCTAGGAAATCAGAGTTGTTATAGTACTTTCCCAAAATAAATTTGGCCAGAAGGCAAGATGGTTTTGTGAGGATCCTCTAGCTTAGTTTAGCAAGAAGGGCATCATTGAAGGTACTAATGTCTCTGAACCCAAGTCCACCATCTCAGAAAGATTTTGTCATTCGATTCCAAGAATTCCAGAAAATTCCAAGAATTCCAGAAAATTCCAAGAAATTCATTTATGGTGTTACACATGGTTGAAGGGCGGAGAGAAACAAAGAGTGTATGTCTCCTTCTTGGGAGGTAAACATTTGTTGATAGAAGTCTATGATAGCTTTTATAATGTCTTTTTCTTCAAAAACTGAATTACCATCAGCAGATTCCATCACAGAAATATTGTTTATAGCTCTTCTTCCTTTGGTAGCTATGTGGAAATACCCTGATTTTTTGTCCCCAAAGGCCAACCAAAGTTGTATACTCCTCTATTTCCAAAAGGCCTCCTCATTCTGGTAACCTTTGGTTAGTTTCTGGTTGATCTTGTTGATCTCATCATGATTATCAACACCTTGACTCATGTTTTCTTCTAGAGCTTGCCTCAAAACATTGATCTCCCTTTCTTGTTGTTTTTAATCCAACTATTTCACCCTACTAGGCACTATTAAAAACTGATAACATTACCCAAAATAATCAACTATCTATAAGCTTTCAACCAGAGTCCACGGCCACCAAAGTTTCCACGTTGATCAAAGTATAGGTTGGCTGGTTGGAACAGGATGCTTGAAATTATGCATTCGAGAAAGTCAGTGAGTGATAAACAAGTTGGGGCAACAAAATAGGTCCACGTCTAGAGTTTCTCAAGAACACAACACAAGATTTGTATCAATGGGTAGTTATGAGTACCTCTTTTTGGCTTTTCTTTGATATATAAAGTAAAACATTACAAGAATTAGAACTATTGAGTCCTAGGAGGATAAGGAGAGATTAAAAGAGATAACACCAATCCTACAACCGAATTTTCCAATAAACCCCAAAACCAAAACTGAATACATAAAACACCAAAACCATTGACTTCTAATCCAAGTCACGTTGATTAGGCCCTTCTCGTACGTACGGGCCGATCCGATAACACAGGCCCATCAATACCCTCCCCACAAAGAATAACCTTGTCCTCAAGGTTTAGAACAAAGTTCGGGAAGCTGGCTCCCACTTCCTCCTCGTCCTCCCACGTAGCATCCTCATTACACAAACCTCTCCATTTGATCAACAATTTGGAATGTGCCTTGCCGCCTACATGAACCAGCAGCTTGTGGAGCATGCTTTCAGGCTGCAAATTTAAATAACCACTCTCTCACAGCTGCTCATCTTTCAACCGAGTCTCTAGTATTATCTTTTCTTTCTCCTCAGTATTGTACTCTTCCAACATCTCTCATGCTTAGTTGTAATCATCTTTTAGCTTCTTGTTTATTGCTTTTCCAAACAAACCGTTGATCTATTTGTGCTCTCGGGTCAGCGTCTGATATGCAGCTTCTTGCTCTAACAACGCTTTATGCATATCGTTTATCTAATAGAAAGTATTTATAAGAACCTAAGATGTGTATGATTTAGGGAATGTTTTTTTATGATTTCCAGCAACACACAAAATAAGAAAATTTATATTCTAAAAAGACACGACTCGCCATTATCACAGCTAATATTCACAAATTTACCTTTATTTGGCGTAAGAAATATAGTTAATCGAGGGCTAACATTTATATTCAATATTATATACTTAGATTGTAAGTTTCATATATTCCGTATATTATTTTTCATTAAATAATATTTCTATTTTCGGTATATTCTTTTTCCTTTTTATTAATATTTTTGTATATAAAATATTATATTTAAAAATGTTAATTAATGAGATAGAAAAAATGTTAATCAGTGAGATGTCTAATCCCGATTGGTTGTTTAAAATCCTATGTGGACGCTCTCAAAAGCTTATAGCCTCAACTTTGATATAGTATAGACTAGGTTGTGAACCCATGCTACGCGTGGGTTTATTTGATATATTTTGGTAAAATTATATTTGATTGATGATAGTTATAAATTTTTTATACAGAAAGTTAGATTACTATTAAGGCATAAAATTCATTTCAACTACACACTTCAAAAAATCTATAAAATCAATTTTGTATAAGGAATCAAATAAGTTATACAGAAAGTTAGATTACTATTAAGGCATAAAAATTCAATTCAAATACACACTTAAAAAAAATTATTAAATCAATTTTGTAAAGGAATCAAATAAGATAAAAAGAATCATGAATCAATCTTGTTTGTTTCATATTTAATTGGGCACAAACACATATGTCTTCTTATTTTTCCTTAGACACTCATCGTTTTCATATTTTTATATATATATAAGGGCGAAAATAGTTTATGTCACACAAATCACTTAGACTATGTATCTATCAAGTCGTTGGTGAGCAAGAGAGGATGTTGGGGTGGGAACTACAGTTGATCACCAATATTGAGGGTTTGGTGCATTTCCTTGTACTTTTAGATTTTCTCTCTTAGGCGTTTTTTGGGCTACTAATGGTTTACTTAAACAGAAGTAAATCATGTTGTTTCCTTTTATATAAGGTTTAAAACTGTCACCGGTGTTAATCCTCACCACCTCACATGCATAATGG